GAAACAGTAAAATCTCAGTTCAAAGTGACCAATCTCCTCACTGATTATTCTCCCTACGGAAAAAGTGTTTTTTAATCTACCTACTGGTTTTGGGAAGCCCTTAATATTTCAATGCCTTCTGATCATTGCGAACATCACAAATAACAAACCCCATGGTTCAAGCGTTGTTGTTGTTATCTGGCTGTTGCGATCGCTGATGGAGGACCAAGTTCAGTACTCTGAGTCTCCAGCCAATTCGGGTATTCCAGCTGTTTCCATCACAAATGATGAAAACCCACAGATCATTCAGCAGGTTCTAAATGGAAACTACATTTTGGTGTTTAGTTTGCCTGAATGGTTTGTTGTGTTAAATTACATGGACTCCAACGGTTCATGACATTGGCATGTCTTCCCATTTTTTTTTTTCTTTCTTTTTTTTTTTGCATTTCGGTCTCTCAACCTTGTTTTGCTTCACATTTTTTTTTGAAGGGCATTTTATGCTGTGTTATTATGAGGACTTTTAAGCAGAGTAGAGCCATTTGACCATTTGGCATACAATGTTATCTGTCACTTCGTAATTTTTAACACCTCTATAAATTTTTCACAATCATTTGTGGGGTCCACGGGAGTATTGGCAATAACCAGTTAGAATTAAGAAAGATTTCAAAAGCAACTTCCAGTGTTTGTTTTCTTCGTCAGAGGTCTAGAACAAGGATTTGTGTGCTACTTCGCAGATGCTAGTAGCCTGCAGTAGGTAGTGTCTGCAACTCAGGCTAGAATTAACATGAGGCTTATAGAAACGTCAATTTATTCAAATATAAACTTGCTTCAAGGCAACATGGAATCACTCTTGAAACTGACCTCAGGAAGGTTGAAACATTGCAGCGTTTTATCATTAGTTTCTAATACAAAATTGATTTCTACAAACTTACACAATGTACAAGAACACGTTTTTATTAAATAAATGAAGAAGCATTCTCGAATCGAATTATTTTTTCTGAGTAATTCGACTTGAGAATGCTTCTTCACTTATTTCACTTTATCCAAGTCGCCATTTCACTTATCATTAATGCTTGTAATAACTTTCTTTGAAAAGAGAACAAATTAATCTTTACATCACCTCTTGAACAAAACCTGGAATAGAATTTGGACAAATTTTCAACGACGAGTAAAAGGGAAGTATATGGTAGTAAAAGTCATACCTGCTTGCTTTATTAATTCATTCACATCTTGAGCTGTAAAATTTGTGGCAGTCACTCCAAAAACACTGGCCATGTGCTACAGAAATAATAAAAGAAAGTATCTGGATTTACTATTTAACATGATGAGAAGGTGTCATCACAAGAACCTGTTTGGTTACTTAATATTAACTAGTTTTTTACTCATATGTTTCTGAGAACACTCTTTCCCAAAGCCCTTCACTTATTGCAACCAATAAACTAAT